GCCATTTACCTTTCCAAGAAAGGATGATATAACAATTGCTACACCAGTCTCATAAATTTGGATCCATGCAATAGCATTTAATCTCAGTGACAGAATCTGTTGCGTTGGAACAATATGGTAACTTGGATCTAAAGAATTATCATCAGTATAATTAGACTCTAAAGTTAAGAGTAGACATTAAAATTTTTATCACTTCGGCGTCCTCACGCAGAATGCAAAAAATAGCTTTTGGAAGGTGGAATTGTGGGTGGAGGTGGAGGACTGCACTCTTTTAGTCTAATGAGACCCTCAAATAACAAGTCTAACTGTCATGTGATGCACACTCTTAAGGAAATGCCTATAAGGCATCAAATGAAGTTATCAACAGCATCTACCACAACATTAGATAGTTGACCCAAGTCTAATAGCAAGATTAAAATTTTAACAAAATTCATGAAAAAGAATGGTCTTATGAATGACGTAATGAACTACAAAGTCAAGAATGATAATTTTGAGGAGAAGCTAAGAGGCCAGTACCTGAAGTATATCCTTTACATCCTTCTTGGTTAACTTTTGCTGCTTTAATAACAGTTCAATTCTTGCTCTCATTCGAGGGTGCCTAAGTAAATACAACAATCTTAGAGTTAATAATCAAGGAACAGTAAATGACAGGCTCCAAAATGAAGTCAAATAATTGAAGCTGTATATAAAATGGCGGACTTACTCGGAGGTCCAAAGATGACCCAGAATAACAGCTATCAACTGCAAAAACAGAGTGACTTTCAATGACAAAGAAAAACTAGAATGGAAGCTCTTACCAATAATAAAAGAGTCGGGGGAACCTGGAGAGTATAGAGTCCAGAGTCCAGCTTACGATTATATTTTTCCTCCTCATCCATCTACAAAAATAATACAGATAAATATAAGTTCATTTGAGTTGTTCCAGACATGGTAGTGGGTATACACAACATTCGAAGTCTATTTTACCTCTAAATCATCAAGTTCGAGCTGATTCAGCCGTTCAGTCTCCGCTTTCACTCTATTGGAATATCTATAATTGGCAGAAGAAATACATGTCATGAGAAGCCAAAACAGCCTGAAGAGAAAATAAATTTATTTTCCCCCACATTTGTATGCACAGTAGAAGCAAGGATGCAAAAGCTATCACGACCTCATGTAGAGCTCCATAAGTCTGTCTATCTTTTCACACTCATTCTCCACAAATTTACTTAAAAGTCTTTCCCTTCTAGAACCCCTCAAAATTCCACCTGATATTGGACACAGAGTGAGATTAATACAACCATAATATGTATAAGCAAATGAATCTGAATTCCTTATGTCAATTATGCACATTACTTCCAAGAAAAAAGCAATTTGAACTCAGGGCTTGAGCTAACTCAAAATTAAAGTCTTATTGGCATCATACAAGAAGCTAGAAAGCTTTCAATTAATAAGAAACAAAAATGTATCAATTCTATCATAACTGGCATAATATTCAATGCTTCAACAAGAAAACTACCGAACATTTCATCATGTAAAGGCTATATAAGGAAGCAGG